TCAAAAGAGGGATATGCAACCATCGTCACTTCAAATGTTGTTGACCAGATCTCTCTTGATACTTGGGCAGCATTAAGACTGTAAAAGCATTATGGGAAATGTAGTCTTCTGGAGTGCTAAAGGTTTAGTACCCTGGTCTAAAAGGTCCAGCCATGGTCATCTTGGGGAAATCTCAATATCTTAATTTGTTACTGAGATCAGTATTTAGTATATTATCTCTGTCTTACCACGCCGACATCCACCATTCTGGCTCACACGGCTGAATTCCACCACTGAGCTTTATCAAACTGAATTCAGACCACACTTTAGACCAAAAGAGACCAATGGACTGAATTATTGCACTCTGAATAACCAGACTGAATTCTCATCAGAGTGAATACGCCCTTATGCACCTCTCCGGACTAATCTCTACCACAGTACCTCACCACAATGAATTAACCTAAATAAAATTAGATGAAATTCTTGTTTTCTGCACCACCAGACTGAATTCCACCAATTCTACCTCAGCAGAATTAATCAAACAACATTCATTTACCAGCATGCCAAACTGAGTTCTTTATATCATAACCAGGTTAAATTTTATTATTTTATCATGTTTTACCGTTGTTTGATGACTGTGCAAAGAACAGATTGTAGATCAGATTCTGCCAACCCCCACCAGCCTGAATTCTACCACTCCGCCTTGCCAGACAGAATTCTAGCACTCCAGCTCACCAGAAAGAATTCTACCACTCCACCTCACCAGCCTGAATTCTACCAGTATGCTTCACAGGACAGAATTCTACCACCCCGCCTCACCAGACAGAATTCTACCACTCTGCCTCACCAGACAGAATTCTACCATTCCGCCTCACCAGACAGAATTCTACCACTTTGTTTCACGCAACAGAATTCTACCACTCCACCTCACCAGACAGAATTCTACCACTCCGCCTCACCAACCTGAAGACTACTACCCCTGCTCACCAGCCTGAATTCTACCTCTCCACCTCACCGGACAGAATTCTACCACTCCGCCTCAAGCAGCCTGAATTCTACCACTCCACCTCACCGGACAGAATACTACCACTTCGTGTCACCAGACAGAAATGTACCACCCTGCAGTACTACACCAAATTACATTCTAGCACTCACTCCACCTCAGCAGAGTGAATTTTATCACTAATGTGAATTACGGGCATTTTTCCAGACCTGTATAATTTACAATCAGATTTGCTGCTACATTTGTGAAGGATTTAACAGATTAATGGTTTTATATTACACAAGCATTCTCTCAAAGTGTATGATTTTGAACATCTTACAGCCAGTAAAATTGTCAAACTGATACGTGCCAAATCTCTGGGAAAGCTGAACTTTTTACCTTATACTTTTCAGAAGACTTAGTAAATATTCAGTGCTTGATACTGCCAAAGCCCGTGGTGATTGTACTTAAAAGGAAACTATGAACGTATTTTTTTGTTTATGCTGTCAAATCTTTGTTGTGCTGTGCACTGTAGAGAAAAAAAAACTAGTTTCCTTATTTTACTTAACTTTCATGTGTGCCTGTATGGGGTTCTTCTTAAAGTAAACGTAGCATTCAAAAATCAAGCCTCGGGGGGGCGGAGCCTGACCGCGAGACGGGCTAGACGCCATTTCTGAGAGCTCCTTCCCGGCGAGCGAAATCCGCCGAAAATCTGACAAAACCAGACCCCATCCGAGCTTGAAACCAGCGGGTACAGATTGGGGACATCCCGCGGCACCGACAGATGCCTTTTCAATACACCCCGAGGCAGACCAAACCGAAAAAGAAGACCGGGGCCTACTTCACTCCGACGCTTGCAGACCTCGAGGCACTGTTTGGCGGAAAGGGCGCACATAGGGTAGCTGAGACCCCGGCTTACCCGGCAACAACTCTCCACAGTCCTACACCAGCAATGGGGAGACGTTCACAGAGGCCACAAACGTCCCAGGCACCGGAACAGCAGGACATTGGCACTCTCCTACAAAGGCAGGTACCATCCAAAATGGCGGCCACTAACGGTCCTGATCCCCATGCAACCCCTGACATGCCTAGCCAGACACACATCCCAGCAACACAGGGGGACCCACACCCCATGACTGGGGACATCCCTGGAGGCACAGCCCCTGCCACTAAGCAGGATCTCCACAATATGCAAAATACCTTGCTGGAAATACAGAGGCTCCTAACGGCAGACATGTCCTCCCTGAAATCTAACATGCAGCAGCTCAATGACAGGACAACTCACACTGAAGGGGACATTGGGAAACTCCAAAATGAAGTAGCTGAAATGAAAACTGCAATGGTCCACTTAAAAACCACACAACAGGCTATGTCAATTCAAATGACGGCATATGAAGATAGACATCGCCGTAATAACCTAAAAATCCGCGGGATACCCCCAGAGATCGATTCAGAGGAACTACCTCACTATACAAGGAGACTTATTGCATCATTGTTGCCGCCAGCGCTAGCTAAAAAATTCACTATCAGTGGACTGTACAGACTGCCCACCATCACTAAGACGGCAGTCCCAATCACTGGTGACGTCATCCTCCGATGCAATACATTACAAGATAAGGGCCAGATCATGGCAGCAGTGAGGGGTAAAACCCCATTACCATTTGAAGGATCGCACCTAACCCTCTACCAGGATCTCACGAAAACTACACTCCATTGGCGCAAATCACTGCAGTCACTCACCAGCCGCCTGCGCTCTGCTGGGATAACATATAGATGGGGCATGCCAAGATCCCTACTAATAGTACACAACGGGACGACCCACAAGCTTACAACTGAAGCGGAGGTACCTGCAATACTCCACACACTGGGCCTTACTGAAACGCCAACCGCAACCGCTGCTCCCCAAGCCGAACACACCTGGGACCCTGAATCAACGATCCCATTCGCACCGAGAACCACACCTATTACCTGACTGATCAAGAAATGGGCGCAACTATCCCACACGGAAGAACGAACGTTACCAGACCACCAAGAATACTGGCTTATATTATGCATTATACTAACCTCTGTTCAGATTTCTCTACACACACTGGTTACCTCACTCATACCCGTTAACAGACCCAGAGAGGGGCAGCCTCAGAAGCACCCCGCATACACATAGAATATACAACCTACCACCACCTGGTATACACACTAAACAGTTCCGGGAAAAGGCAGCCTCACGCCCGTCTCGCATACGCACATGAGATACACCCACAAGAGGTGTACAACACCCCCCACCCCCCGATGCCCCCTTGGTTAGGGGTACTTACCTACTGGGATAACCGAAACAAACCTCTGGCTAACACTACTAACACATTGGTTACCCACATGCTCCCCTCACCAACGCACTCATAACTTAACACAATGCTACAACAAAACCTACTAGTACTCCCATGTAAAAACAAAATGTGCGAATGTTTCCTAAGATGTTTTGTTAACTAACCCGTTACCAACCTTGTTACTCTGCATTATAATTACAGTGTCCGTCCTGGCTGTTGGGGCCGGACGTGATCGTGTAAAAACGAAAACGCACCAAAAATAAAGAATTTAAAAAAAAAAAAAAAATCAAGCCTCTTCTGTAAAGGATATATACTGGATACCAGTAGGTGTATAGGTGCTTCCAAAATTATTTAGTAATAGGTGTGTGTGTAGAAAAGGTGTTTTCCCTATCACCTTAACCCCTTAAGGACAAAACTTCTGGAATAAAAGGGAATCATGTGATGTGACTTCCGGGTTCATATTGGTCGTCTATCTCTATTAAAGGAAGTGTCCAAAACGTCCATATTGCAAATGGGCTATTCTGCCCTCAAATAAAGTATACAATACTCTGTGGGCTTGTAAATACCAAGTTAAGAAGCAGACAATATACAAATCTACAATATAATAACACTCTTTAAATGAAACCAATATTAGACACAAATCCATAATAGCAATGTATTTAGCCAAGACAGATGGGTGATAGTAGGAAAACAATTGTCAAAAAATACTCCAAAAGCACCCCCATTAGATGTTTCAAACACTTCATCCTTACCTTTGACAGCAGAGGGTGGGAAAGCAGAGGACTGACACTCCTCTGCCAGGCATGTGTGGGAGATCAAGTTTGTTTAATCACTCCTACACATGTTAAATCAAACTCGATCTCCCACACTGCCAGGGACAATTGCTCTCACTATCGTTGAAAAAATGTGTATGGGCATTATACCAAAAAAGAAAGTTATCTCAGCATGCTACGCAGGGCCGGTGCAAGGATTTTTGCCGCCCTAGGCAAAAGAAGGATTTGCCGCCCCCCCTCCCCCCCGGAACATCGCAATGCCCCACCCATATGAACTAATGCCAGTGCTGCACACAGTGTGTGTTTAGACTGAAAAGCCTGCAGGGACAAACTATAGACACCAGAACAACTTTATTAAGCTGCAGTGGTTCTGGGGACTATAGTGTCCATTTAATGTTAGGTAAATTAGAGATTAGTGTCACTAATAATATACTAGATTGCCTACTTACAATCAGATGAGGATGGTGATGGGCTCTGGCTGCAGTCTGGCTCCACTGGTCTGGTGTAGAACAGGATCTCTGGAGGCTGTTTGTAACTGTGGTCACAAAATTCCATGTTCTGGGAAAACGGGAAGCAGCTCCATTTTTTGGGGCCTCTTACATAGCTCAAGGTCTGGGCCCCAGGGCCTGACGGTGAGTATGCCCATAAAGCCCACCCATAAGTCCCCCTACATGTTCCACCCATGAACTCACAGGGAATAGAGTGTGTAGGGGATTTGTTATGTGTTACTGTAGAGGATCTAATGTGTGTGCTTACAGAATGTAGTGTATAGGGATACCAGTTTGTGTAGGTGATGCAGTGTGTTTGTGTGTAGTGGAAGCAGTGTGTGTGTGTGTGTATAAGAGATGTATTGTGTGTTTCTTGTTGTGTGTAAGGGATGCATTGTGTGAATCTGTGTTTGTATGCATAAGGGATGCAAAGTGTGTTTCTGTGTATGTAAGGGATGCAGTGTGTGTGTCTGTAAGGGGTGCGTTGAGTGTAAGAGATGCATTGTGTTTCTGTGTGTGTGTGTAAGAGATGCAGTGTGTGTTTGCATGTGTGTGTAAGGGATGCATTGTGTGTTTCTGTGTATATGTGCAAAGGATGCATTGTCTTTATGTGTAAGGGTTGCATTGTGTGTTTCTCTGTGTGTAAGGGAAGCATGTTGTGTTTCTGTGTGTATAGGGATGCATTGTGTGTGTGTGTGTGTGTGCCCGTGGTGTGAAAGAGCTCCCTGTCCCCCTGTCCTATAGAGCTCTCCCTTCCATTCCTTAGAGATCTCCCCTGCCCCTTAGTGGTCTCTCCTCTCCCCCCACCTCCCTTAGTGGTCTCCTTTTCTCCCCGACTTTCCATTAGTGGTCTCTCCTCTCCCCCCACCCTTCCCTAGTGGTCTATCCTCCACCCCCCTCCCTTAGCGGTCTCTCCTCACACCCCTCCCCTAGTGGTCTCTCCACCGCCCCCTCCCTCCTTTAGTGGTCTCTCCCTCCCCTACGTTCTCATCTCCCACCCTTCGTGTTCTCCTCCTCTTCTCCCCCCGTGTTTTCCTCTTATTCCCCCGCCTCCCTGTGTTCTCCTCTTCTTCTCACCCCTGTAATCTTCTCTTCTTCTCCCCCCTCCCTGTAATCTTCTCCCCCCCTTCCCTCCCTGTAATCGCTTCTTCTCCCCCGTAATCTTCTCTTCTTCTCCCCCCTAATCATCTCCCCCCTCCTTCCCTCCATCTGTCTCCCCCCCTCCATCAATCTTCTCCCCCCTCCCCTCCCATCATCTCCCCCCCTCCCATCATCTCCCCCTCCTCCCACATCAATCTTCTCCCCCTCATCTCCCCTTCCCCCCATCATCTCCCCTCCTCCCTCCCATCAAATCATCCCCCCCTCCCTCCATCAAATCATCTCCCCCCCCCCTCCCATCAAATCCCATCTCCCCACTCCATCCGTCATCTCCCCCCCTCCATCAAATCATCTCCCCCCCACCAATCAAATGATCCCCCTCAATCATCCTGTCCATCAAATCATCTCCCCCCCTCCCTCCCATCAAATCATCTCCCCCCTCCCTGCAATCAAATGATCTCCCCCTCAATCATCTCCCCCCCATCAAATCATCCCCCATCATCTCCCCCTCAGAGGAAAGAACCCTCCTGCAATCAAATGATCTCCCCCCTCAATCTCTCCCCCTCCATCAAATGATCCCCCCCCTCAATCATCTCCCCCATCCCATTCAATCATCCCCCCCCTCCCTCCCCATCAAATCATCTCCCCCCTCCCTGCAATCAAATGATCTCCCCCCCTCAATCATCTCCCCCCCCATCAAATCATCCCCCATCATCTCCCCCTTCAGAGGAGAGAACCCTCCCTGCAATCAAATAAACTCCCCCCCTCCCCCTCCCATCAGCATCTCCTCACCTCACCTCCCCTCCCCTGTAGCGTGGCCGAGCTTCTTTCCGGTCCGCGACCCGGCGGGACTGACAGGAAGTGCACACTGAGTGTGCACTTCCTGTCAGTCCGGCCGGGTCGCGGACCGGAAAGGAGCTCGGCCACGCTACAGGGCAGGGGAGGTGAGGCACTGCGGCAGCCGCCTGAGCGCTCTCTATAGAGCGCTCAGGCGGCTGTTACATTTAAAGGGCCGGCGATGGGGGCGCAGGGCGCCCCCTCCTATATGGCGCCCTAGGCGGCTGCCTAGTTCGCCTTATAGGAAGCGCCGGCCCTGATGCTACGACACGATAATGTGAGACGCAAATCTCCCAATACCCAAATATGCAATGGAGTGGGAGAGGGACCTGGGACGGGAGATCCCCGCAGCTGACTGGTGGAGAGCCTTTAGGTCTAACCAACCGCATACGAGGTGCTCTTCTCACGTCAAACTTATAAGAAAGATAGCAAACCGATGGTACCTATTATCAGTGCGCTTGGCCCACATGTTTCCAAATACGTTGGACAAATGCTGGAGATGCGCCAAAGAAAAGGGCAACATGTTACATATTTGGTGGGACTGTGAGGTGATCAAACCCTTTTGGGACATGATAGCAACCCTGATCTCAGAAGTAAACAACAAACAAATTAGGCCCTCGGCTGAACATTTCCTCCTGTTCATACCACACAAAGATCTCACGAGGCAACAAGGGCTCTTAACCTTCCACATATTGATAGCGGCCAATTTATTGATAGCTAGAGGCTGGATATCCCTTAGGGCCCCCCAGCAAAGGGGAGGTGATGCAACAGGTATCACTAAATGTGAGTTATGAAAGGATGGCACACATGAGCTCCAACAGGTCGTACAACATGATAGAAGCATGGGACAGATGGGAGGAGTGGGTGGGGGACACGGCAGCCTCTGGAAACACAGACCCGTCATAACTAGCACCTCACACGCAGTGAATAAACGCTGTCCACGGCTCTCAAGCCTCCTCCATTGAAATAAGCGGCACACACCCGCACACCAGGAACACAAAACCATGTCTCCTGTTGATCACACACCTCTTGCCCACATTCAGGGAAACCACCAGTGCCTATTCCTCTTTCTTCCACTCCTCTTTCTTATCTTCCTTCCTTACCTTTTCTAACCCTTCATACCTTCCTCTATCCTGGCTTGGAACTGGGACAAACTAAGTAAAGCCAGGTAACACCAAATCGCAAGCCACAACAAGTCAATGAGGTCACACATTCCAATCTAACACTAGGAAGATAGGCTAGGCAGAAGGGGAACACACAAGCTGCAAATGCACACTTGTACAAGCTAGGTCACCAAAGGTCTATACATGAACCTCAAGAATTACCTGATGACTTAACGATGTAACCGTTATACACTTCAAACGCCAATGACCCAAGGCATATAACACACACAATGCAACTTGCACCATACCATGATAGACGGCACCTGGAGGGTGTGCCGCGGTGGTTAAAATGCCACTTTTATGCAATTCATGCACCACTGTATGAAATTTTGGTTAGGAATACAACGTTATACCTTGGATGGCGATATAATATACCTTATTTTGTATTTTGTTTAAATATATTTATTAGTATCGCAAAAAAGTATAGGCAGACATTTTATGAATTGATAAAAATAACATATGGTTGCCTGTGCAGAGGCGTATAAGTCAGAATAAACAAGCAAGGAAGTAAATTGGGTACATATAGACTTTGCCAGATTTGATATATCAAGGGTATTCAACAGGCATAATATCGCATTGTGCAGGCTTTATATTCAACTGAGCAATACCTAATCTTATGAGACTCATATTGCATAGAGGTTATATCGGCCTGGTAGCCTGGGTCAACTTACTAAATCTTGTGTTGGTGCAGTACAACAGTGCCTTATTAAGTCTAAACAGATATGGCAGAAGCATTTTTACTAGGATCAACAAAGAGCTCCATATTTTATTGCGCGGTTGAGTTATGTCTTACTAAGCATGCAGTGGCGCTTTTAGCATTTGTAGCCTTATATGTAGTTAAGTAAGCAGTGCCTTTCTAATGTATGTAGGCAAATGCACTTTTAAGTGGAGTGATCATACTATATTGTGCGGTCTGACCTAGGCTGTAGTTAACGGTGCGGTACTAGCATTGAAATATATAAACAGACACACTACATAGAATGCAGTAGTAGCGCCTAGTAAGTTATGTCGCTAACATG